TATACCAAAAGCAATTTCACAAGCTTATGAACATTGAAGTAGCTGGCAGCCGACCAAGCAAGCAAAGTACCTTCCGAGCACTTCACATTGACATCTTTGCAGTTTGTAATCTGCAGCATGCATGTTCCTGATCCTGTGCCATGTGCTTCTTACGCTACGACTTGATTGTTGGAAGGTATGTCCTCAGACCCGTACTGCGTTTGTGCAGTGCATGGCGGGAGACTCAGATGACGAGTGCAACACACAAAAGGTAGTCGCAATGGTGTAGCTGCTACCAGTCAGCCAAGTCAGTGCGCCTGGATGACTGCCACAGGGTGCAGAGCAGAAGCTGTACATGATAAGCAGGAGCGACCAAGAAGTCAGGTATCGCGGAGTAGTGCAGCAGAGCACCAGCATTGTCACACTGCATTGCCTCTGCTCTGGCATGCGAGGCAGGGGAAGTTCGACATTCAAAACACCTACCGTCGCCAACGAGACTTGACCGAACTGCGCAAGAAGCCAGAAGTGTTCGTCTGTATTTCAGAAAAAGATCGGCATGGTTTCTTCCGAGGACTTGAGCCCTAGATGGGACGTTTGCGCGCGCATCACCGCTGCTCGAATGACTTGGTTCTTCATTCTCTCTCTTTGGGCTTGGCATGCATCCAAGGATTTTCACTACGGCGATTCTTTGGTCTTCACAGTTTGGGACAAGGACTTTGGGAAAGCCGATGATGCGTGAGCGGCTCAGATGACGGCAGCTGCACATGTGCCACAAAAATGCCGTCGGCCAGGCTGGGACAGGTTTCGTTGCCCTCTGAGAAAATCATACCATACGGATTTGACGAATGGCTCGTGCGACCTGGCATGAATCGTCCCTGCGTTTTCATACCTGTGTAGCATGTTTCTGTGCATTCCACTGCATGCCGATCAAAGGTTGGATGGAACAGGAGCGAAAGGCGGGTCTACGCCCGGATACGCCCATGCGAGTAGCTTTGCGCAAAGAGCCTCGGAGACAGCCTGCCAGCAGAAGGTGTGGTCTCTAAAGCAGACGACATCTCCAGCATCAGAGTTACGGCGAAAGTGCTGCTTGGACTGTTCACAATTCTTTGCAATGATTCTTGGGGGGGCGTAGTTCGCCCACATGTAATAGAGCAGCAGGGAGCGTCTGCGATGACGATCTCAGGTTGAGAAAGTTCCCTCAGGACGCACGCAGTGAGTTCAAGAGTTGACTAACTGAGCTTCCAAGTTCTCGAGTCCATCCCTCAGGAGCAGACGAGACACGAGGAGCCTGTAGTGCCGTGCTCAGTACACAACAAGGGTTTGACCGGCATTCCGCAGAGCCCAGATGTAATCGAATCTCTTACCGCATGCGTCTCATTGGTACTGACCTGCCTTCGTTAAGCGTGATGTGCTTCAAGGTGCAGCCTGTCCGAAACACTTCGAAAGAGGGCTCTCGCAGGCCAGATGGCCACCGTCGCAGCTCTCTGCACCCCTCTCTCAGTTGCATGTTTACAAGAAATCACTGCAGTCCTGGTCTTCACTCTCCATATTCGGCGAACCACGAGAAGAATGGAGACGAAGATGCGGGGCAAGCTTTGAAGGAGGACCCTGCCTTCGCCGAACACGCAGTCTTGATTAAAACTTTTTGTACATGTTCCAAGTTTGTGGAAATCCGACTCCTGCGTCGGCAAGAAATGGAGAGTCTCGTGGCTGCTCCATCACCGCCACTGAGGATTGTCTTTTCCGCTTCTTCGTTCTTTCGTTCATCCATGACTGGCTGGGTTAAAAAGAGCTCTGACATGATCATGACAATACACCTTATGGCACAATCGAACTTCTGATCCCGCTTCTCTCCGTTCTGGACATGTCCGCTGTTCCCGTCCAGGGCCAGGTAGGGACGAGTCCAGAGGTTGTCAATTAAGGCGGGACCGGCATGAAAAATGAATGACTGCCAGGCGCAGCGTGCATCCTTGGTGTTCTTTGTCATGTGTAGTTTTGTTTGTCGCTTTTCGTTTAGGGGCGTGCTTTGTGGCCGACTGTGGCTCTACAGCCTTACCACACAGCAGGAGTTATAAGGGATCTGAGCCGGTGACTTGGACTACCGGGCCTTGGAAGCCAAACAGCTTGTGCAAGAGTCACGCCCAATAACATCGGAAACCTTGCGGAAGATTCCCCTCCAATGCTTGGATCTACATATCCAGGAGGATTCTTCGAAGGAGATTGCCCAGCCCCAACGGACGCGATTCCAGCGCCTGCAAGCCTTCTTCATCTCGGACCGGCATGGTTCACGGGGCAATTCGGGTTCAAGTCGGCGTGGTGAGGAACATCCGGATACATGAAAATCTGGTGCTCCAGGAGAAGTTCGAGCTCTTTCTTGCAGGGCTTCTGTGCCTGAATGCACTGCGCTTACTGACTGCTGTGGCCTGCTCAACAGAAACACGTTTGAATCGGGCCCAGATCTGCAGCATGGCCCTCGAACTGCAGTATGATGGCTGGGAGCACCGTGCATGCAAGAATGAACTGGAGTTGGCGTGCTTACGGGCATGTCCCGCAGCTGGCACAGGCCCAGTCAACCTGCGACGACGGTCTCATGTGCTGTGACTGAGGATTGGCTATTTGCTGGACTATGGGTTCTACCGAAGCTCTAGCCACGACAGGTTCGCTTGGGGCAGGGGACCTGGAAATTGAGCATCCCGAGCCGGAGAGGATACCTGCGGCACCTGAGGAAACGAGTTCCTTTTCTACTTGGATATGGTGTTTTCCGTTCCTGGCAGCAAGGAGAGTCACTTCAAAGTAGATGTCACACCCACATACACCCACCATAACCTGCCACATGCGTTTGACCGAAAAACTCACAGACTCCCGAGCCACAGAAACAAATCTTGCTGCAACAGTGAAATTTGACGCGCGCAGCTAGGTGATATTTACGCGGCTTGTTTGCACTGTGATTTGCTTTTTGGACTGGTAGCTGGGCAGGCACGGACCAAGCACCGTTGGGAAGCCAAGGATCGACGTCACTCTGCGAATCTCAATCCTACAGCTGCTCTGCTGACATAAGGTGTGGGGCGAACTTGTATTTTCACTTCGCACTTCTGCCTCAGTGTCAGTGTCTTGCTGCATCATGTTGTTCGAGTTCCTTGCTTGACAACGCTGCCACACTAGCTGTGGGCAGCCCAGCTTTTGCGACCGAGGGGGATGTTCTGGAGGGGTGGAATATCCAATTACATTGACTTATTGGCTGCTTGGTTGCAGACGTTCCTTGAATTTCGCTGCATGCGCGTGCCTGACCTGATAAATTGAGCTTTGCAGGGAAGCTGGAGATGGGAGATGGGTTTTCGCAGAGTTGTAGGGGATTCGGGGCACTTTTTTCGACTCTCCTGAGCAATCCAATCAACCTGCATTAAAAGAAGTTTGTTCTTTGTCCGTTTTCTGCGGCGAAGCAGAGCATGCGCATACAGACACACGCGCACGCATACAGGTACAATTGTATACACATATTTCTGTGTGCGCGTGCGCATGCACACACGTGTATGGATATATGATATATTGTCGTGTTAGCTGCCAGCATCCTCGCCTGACCTAGTCGAGTGCGAGTGCTAGAAAAGTTGATATATACATCAAAAAGTGTTATATGGTAAACTCATACATATATGCAGATATACATATGCTGCAGGCACACTTGCAGGATCTCTTCGTTTTAAATGTCTTACACATAGATGCATACGTAAACGCATACGCGCACGTGTCGTTTGTGCATGGCGCGTGTCTCTTTTAGGATTCGTTTTCCGTGCCCCTTTTGTATAAATACGCCATGGATGTTTGCAGCTGAAGAATCAGCTGCATGCTCTGGATATAGATGCATGTGTGCTCAAGCATCTCGTTGTTTGTTCACTTGTAGCTGTTGAAAACATTCGGTAGATGCATGTTTGACCATGCCTGCATGCCTGTATGTCGCACCGTCCATTGTGAGTTGGCAGAAGTTGCGATTCAATCTTGCATCTCCCCAACTGTCCCTGAAGTAACGGCTGCGGTTAACCGACCGTGCTTCAATCCTTGATAGTTGGCCTGCGTTAGCATGGGCCACTGTTCAGGTGGTAGTGTTGTCCTGGACTGTCTACATTCTGGCAGAGAACTTTCCCGTCAAGCCAATGCCGCTCCGCTGCCACTATCCTGCTGCAGTTTTGATCCAATTCCTTTTGCATTCGGGATGCGCTTTGGCAAAGTAGGCAGGAGACACAAAGGCATGCACAGAACGTGGAGAGAGCGACGTGGCTTTCGACTGACATGCAAGGATTTTGCGCTTGATCCGCTTTGGAAAGTTGGTGCGCGCGCTGAAGGTTGTGAGGCATGGAGCTGACATTGAGAGACTCTTGCTCCATTCATTGGATGCAACTGCGAGGATCTCCCAGTCGCTGGAGTCCCTGGCATTTCTCATGTCTTGCCTGCGAGCCAGTGCTGACCCTAGCGGCCCTAGCACCCACCAAGCTTGTCGTGACAGTCTCCTGTGTCAGAACATTCCGTGTCTGTTTGAGGCGGAACCGTCCTTGTGTGGACCATGTCATTGCTTGCCGCCTGCCAGCAATTCCTGATGTTCGTGCATGCTTGAATGAGCGGAAGATACTGAAGAAAAAGCTTCAAAAAGAGCTTCAAGCGCTTAGGCTTGCATCCAGTGCATCGCCGCGCTCTTCGCGAGTAACATGCTTCACTTCTTCCTGGTAGCCACTGACTCAGCAAGCATCCTTGTAGCTGCGGTGGCTAGTGTTGCATCCGACAGTCGAAAGGAAGGAAAAGCTCCGAGAAACCCTGTGCGCTGTGCAAGGACGAGGACTACGACGTGGAAGTCCGGAGGGCTGTTTTCCGGCAACATGGCTGCCTGGACATGCTGAGGTCGCACCAGCAGGCTTCCACCGTAGCTCAGTAGCGCTTTCACTGCACAAGACGAGCATGGCCAGCAACTTTTCACTCTCAAAGATGCACCAAGATGTGCAGACGAGAATGTGTGGGCTGTTGGTAACAAGGAAATATGTCATCTCATAATGGGTTACAGGACCTCGGTGTCAGTAGACGGTCAGGGCTCGATCAATGTTTCTCGCACCCGTGCTTCCAGGTACTATGGACCCTTGGCGGCAACATGCGACGACCAGCTGTCGTCGGATTTTGTTGTTGTTGTTTGTTCCTGCAGCTTCGGCTGGACATGCTGTTCTGGCATTTCACCGCAGCCGAGGCACATTCAGCGGCTCTTTCCTCACAATGTTCGAAGCTTGACCGCACTTCATGACAAACATGGAGTAAACTACTAGCGAGTGCCCATACGCAAATCTCCTTGTCGACGAACGCAAGGAAATTTTATTCGCAAATTGGGCTCCTGCTTGTAGGGTGTTGACCGACAATGTGCCTCGGCTGCAGCTCGCACGAGACAAACTCCGGTACAAGCACGACAATGGCACTGTAGTCTGCAGATATTCGACTCGCAAGGTGACAGAGTGGTGGACACTTTTCTTCTTGCTCTACCGATGTCTCGTAGGCCCATCCTGCAGATGAAATGCGAGGGCTGTGCATCACCGCATGCCATGCCGCGTGTTTTCCATATTGTGCTGCTGCCAACACCCATAGCTGCTCCATCGCGTCCGATTTCATGCAGCGGGGTTGCTGCCTTCCAGGCTTTGCCGTGTTGAACGTGGTCAATGCAGCTTCCCTGTTCAGCAAATACATTTGGCATATTTTGTGGTGCGAAGCTGGTTGTTGAAGATTGTGCATCAAAAGCTGGGCCGGCAAGGCAGTGTTTGTCCAAAGCACACTTAAAGTTGCACACGCAGATGAAGAGCTTCAGTTCGCAGCCTGGCAGAAATTTGGGTTGACTGTTGGCCCTACGGACCAATGATACTACCATGTGCAAACTTGGCGTCATCGTGCTTGCCAGGAAGCGAAGCAGAAGGCTGGCTTCGCATTTCATTTTGCTCACTCCGGTCTGCATGCAGTGCAGAACGCCGACCTATGCCGACTCAAGCATTGCCTGCAGGCACAGCGGAACCTCATGAATAAGTTGCAGAATATGTTCCTGGCTTTGGACACCTCAGGCGACCAGCCATACTGAATCCTTGGGCTGGCGTAGGCGGAGGTTTCGTAAATCAGGCTATTTTGAAAGGATGTGGCGACCACAGGTGACGGGCTCCTCAGTTGGGAGGAGTTCAACGAAGCGATCTCCAGCCCATTGGTCGAAGTTAAATTTCATCTGGACGACAGTGACAGTTGCGCAGCCTGCACTTTCGCCATCACCTGGCATCGGGGCAGAATGCTACCCTCCTTTAGGGGATCAGTCCAGTGCTAGTTACATGGCCTTTGATTTGTGCATTGTCCGAGTAGCCGAGGTCCGAAGATGGCATTCTGGATGAGCCAGCTTGCCACTAGACACCGGATGGTATCCGCTCGTGCTTTGCTACTCCATTGTATGATGTCATGCGACATGCTGACATGCCTGTATATCACTAGGCCCAGGCCACCAGGCGTTGCCGTAGAGCTCGAAGCGTTGTGAGACCATTGCGTTGGAGACCCCCTGACGCTGTTGCATGCTCACACGACGCTGCGCACTAGAGAGTGTTTCCGTTTGCTTTATATGCAATTCATGGTTACATGTCACCACATCTGGATATTCGATGTGCTTTGTTGGCAGAGGGATCGAACTGAACAGTCTTGATTGTCGCATCGTACTTGGCAACTGTAAACTTAGGAGGATCGTCCCCAAGCAGCTGTGACAATGCGCTTTCCAGCCGGCTTTGCATACCCAGGAGCTTGAATCTTCAGACCTCAAGAGTTTGTTCACTTTGCTGGATGGTGGCGATGGGCTGATCTCTGTGCCACTGGGCGCGTGATAATAATGTGTTGGTCAGCTGCATCGTCGAGCTTGGTCATGCCTTGAAGCTTGCACATGCAGCTCTACCCTCCCCCTCCTGCCTCCGTACGCCGGCTGATCGGACCTAGAATTGCGGGTGACAAAACCGGATGGCGTTCCCTCTCCCAGCCAATGTGCTCGAAGGCAAAAGCAGTATGTAAAGATGTTTTGGGACAGGGAGGGCGGGGGGGTGTTGAATCTGGTATGGTAGCTCCAAGACAAAGGGAGTACCATGTGCTCGGTCATTGCATGTCAAGTCACTATCCAAGGAATGAGTTCATGGAGGGAGCCACTCGACTTCGAGGCCGGGTTGCTGCAGTGTGTTCGCGCAGAGTGTACGTGGAGCACCGTAGCAGGTCCAGCGAAAAGCATCGACGTAGCCAAGCTCCTGATGCTCTGTCGCGCGGCATGCTTTACGGGAGGACGTCATAAAGCTGGAACTAGGTTAAATGTGTCTTCGTCATGTCCAACTGCAACTCCTGGTGCTGAAGCCTGCCAAGGTACGAAAACCGAGAAGACGCTGAAGGCAGGTTATGGTTATTGGAGCATGTAGAAACCAAAGGTGGGGAGCCATGCATGCCGGATGCTGGAGGTACTAAACGATTCCTAAACAGATTTCTTGGGCCGTTGTGGTCGTGGCTGGTGTCAGAAGTTTCTGCTTGGAGGAGTTTCGTGCCAGTAGTAGCTTTCTGACTGGATCTGTTGCCGTGAATCCTAACCGGGCACTGCCGAGCGTGAGAGTCCAAGTCGAGTGTAAGCCTTGCCGGACAAACTACAAGTTATGTCGCAGGGGATTGTTCGCGCATCTTGGATGCATCGCTGAATCTCTCCGTTTGTTGCTCTGACATGTGTGTGGGCAGCCCTAAACGTATTTAAAAGTGCGAGCGTTCACACTGAGGCAGTGAAGCCGCTAGTGGATAATGAAGGACTGAACGGGAAGGGGGGGAGCGTCGAGGTGAGGACGCCGCATCAAGTCAACCACGTGTTTGGACATTCGGCACTTTCCGGCTTCGCTTAAACGATGCATGTAGCTGATGGCAACTCAACGTGACCGTGACAGCACCGATGGCATTCAGCATGTCATCTACAGGAGGCAGCCAGGCCGGCTCAGCACCGTGGCGAAGAAGTTTGTTTTGAATCGCACGGATTAAAGTGTCACATCTGCTATCTTGTGAACTCCATGCAATCCCCTTGATGAGGCGTTTGGTGGCCCTGCTGCTTGTCTGCACATGGTCGTGCAGTCGTCGGGCCCTTCCTGCCTTAGCGCTTCTCGCTGTGAGGGCTTGCTTCGGAAACGGACATTGGACACCCTCGGCTCGAGGCGGGACTGGGTTTCGAATTGCGTTGCAGGCCCCTTCTCGGAGCATGGTGCAAGTGCAGAAAACGTTGGCGCATTTAGAAAAAACTGCTCACGCGCCTTCCTGCGATCGTACCTTGGAACTTGCGGCCTTTCGACAGGAACACCTGATGACCCGTTTTGAATTTGGAAGGGCAGCGTCCTACCAAAGGTCGGACTGCCTGTTTAACGCAAATGTTTGACGGTCGCTCATGGCTGGCATGAACATGAACGAGTTCTATCGGCCTGGCGCCTGGCTTTGGCGGTGGTTAAATCACATCGCCTGTCGCTCCAACCATGTTTTTTTCTCAGCCAAGCTGCTCACACCAGACACATGCTGAAATGTTACGGAGAACCAGTGAATCAGCACAGGCTATTGAAATCTATTGAATGTGTTTGGCCAAGTTGGCAGCTTGCCCCCTTGACTCGGATGCATGTCTTGCTCCAGCCCGGGTTGCCTGACTTGCTAGAGCAGAGATGACCAGAGTTTGTAACACGCACGAGACTTGAGGTGGTTCGAATAGGGCGAGCAGACGCATTTCCTGCTGACATTTGACGGCAGGCTCTATCTTTGAACCTTCGGCCTTCGTGTGTTTCAATCTTGGCACCTGGGCGCACCATCGTGCCGGTGTCTTCCCACCTGCAGCTGCGGCATGATTGCACAGCAAGCAGGTAAGAAATGCGACAAAGGCATGTCAGGAGCCGCCAGGACTTTCTGCCGTTTTTCTTCCTGATGGCACTGATACATACTCGAACGCCGGCTGGTCGGAGCAGCGAAAACGACCTCTATTGAAGCCCATGCAAGACAGGAGTACAGCATCAGCAATTCAGTTACCTTGCGCAAGCTTCGCAGGAAGCGGATCATATCATGTCAGTCCAGGGCACCCAACTGCGAAGAATGGAGTTGAGCCAAAGCTGAAAGATCACGCGTGACTAGCTGTTGCGACGGGAAGCTTGCACTTGCCACCAAGGGGCCGCCTCCCTAGTCTTTTCGGAGAAGGCGGTCATACGCGAGATCGGTGGCAAGTTCTACTTCATGTTCCAGGCAGAAGACCCGTTTGAAAGCATCCTCGTTGTCAGTTTGGAAGCTCCAGGTTTGCGAGTCGAAGAAGCACCAGCTCGTGGAAGCATGGGTCCAAGAAAGAGGCACTTCTATTTCCTGTGGGGTGTAGGCTCGTGAGATTGCTGAATGCTGAGCAAGCAGTGAAGAGCTCCCTGCTGCGGATACATTTGCAGATACCAAGATCGGCATGATAAGTAGCCTTTGTGCTCAAGCTGCAAGAAGCATTGCGCTCTGTTCAGCTGAACACTGCGTTTCTTTGCCAGCAACACGGATGCGAAGGTTAACTCTCATAGGCGATGCTCAGGCCTTTGCTGTTGTCCACTTAGCATAAAGCTTGGAGTGAAGCGCATGTGTTTTCCGCACCCGTCAATACTCCTTTCTCAGGCTCTTTTGTAGGCGTTGCTTCTCGGTCACTTCGATCATCGATGCACAAGTGCGACGCACCAACAGGTTGCCTCCCAGCCCATATCAAGAAGCATCAAGAATCTCACCACAAAACGCCCTCAAGATGTGACCAGTGTTCTAGCAGCCACCTCCTCGTTCGTGGAGATCAAAGCCAGCGTAACGCTGCCAAGGCAAAGGTTCGCTGCTATGCGTTGTGCACCGGCCTGGCAGGCGATCAAAGCCCATCAGGTGCCACCACGAACCTGCAGCCCGCTTTGCAACTTAGGAGTTGGTTGATAGAAAACAGTCCCTTCCCCCGATTCTTAAACCTCACCCGAAAATAGCATTGTACTAGAAAGCAGGACTTGCAATAGAGCCCTGAGTGCCAAAAACCCTACTAATCAATAGTGCGGACAATAACATTTCGTATGAGCTCGGGGGGAAAATAATACGGGGAAGGGATTAGAAACGTTAGCAGGAGATGGTGCGCATCAAAGGTTGTGAGGATGATATGCCGCCTGGTTCGCCGCGTGTGTGTGACTAGTGTTCCATGTCTTGTCGACTGTCGACCACCAGACAGAAATTATGCTAACTGTCGGCGGCTGCTTCACGTTCTCAGCGGCCTTCAGTTGTCGGCTCGAACATAGTCACCAACCCAGCTACAAGATTTAATGCGCATGCAAAGCTTTTGTTGACGTGGACGGCCGCGATCCACATGTTGGTTTCCTTTGCACGAGCAAAGTTTCATGAGCTGTATTAATGTTGTGGGAGTTCCCACCAAGTACAGTTTGCTATGGTGCTCTTCGCCAAAGCTGCAAGTCCGGAGTGCTCCACACGCAGCCTATCCAAATACTTCTGTAGCACATGAGCCTTACGGTCCGAATATCAGCCCTGAAAAATCGACCCCGATCGAAAAATTGCAATGGCGGTCGTGCTGGGTTCGACACCGCCCATGCTGCTCGCGGAGAGGCTGATTCCAGATGCAAAGTTTCGATCCAAAAGAGAAGCGTAATCACTCGGCCATTGAAGCCTTGAAGTTTACCATGCAGAATCCATGAGGGCTGTGCTATTAAAGTCTTAAAGCCAACCTCCAACTGAAACCCCACTACCCAGCAATGCGCAAGCAAGCCCTTCACGTACAGGCTCACCTCGAAGCCTGGGCGAGTCCGGTGTCAAGTTCCCCGCAAAGGCCGACCTGTGCATGGCCATACCTTCGGAGGGCGAGAGCTCGGAAGGAAGGTTAACGACGATTGAGAACACATAGCAGATGCTTGGGGCCTGTTATGCGTTGATACAGGCAACACCAGCAAGTTATCCGAGATTTGCATGACAGTTCCTCTCCAAGAACCTGTCAAGGCGCACCGTCTACTACCGTGTTGGCAGGCTCTGTTGTGTTGGCGGGCGTCTTTACGAGGCCGGGACGGGGAGCTTGCAGTGAGCGGAGGCCGAAGGTGTCCCAGGGGTACGTTGTCTCAGGGGCGCTTCTGACCGCTGTTGATTACATTTAGCAGTTCGGATCGATAGTACGATGACACTTTCTGCATGTTGATGTGTCTGGTAACGTTTGTATGTTGGACTTGGAAGTAGCATTCAAAGTATCTTCCTGCAATGCGTGCAAGCAAAAGCAAGCTCGTCCGTGATCTCCACTGATAGGCTCAATGCTTTAGGGCCAAGCCCTGACAGAGTTCATGGCATGCCAAACAGAACATGCATCAAGCTTCGTGACCTTCGCAGCGCAAGTCGCGCAAACGAGGTTTGGAGAGGTAAGCAGTAAAGTAACCTAAACCTAGGGCCCTAGGCTTAAAGGCAAACCGATTTGAAGGTGTTCAAATAGATGCCTGGGACCGGTACACAAATGCGGACTTGGCCGCCCAAGCTGTGTCTTTACCTTGCAAGATTTGAAACCCGAGTTTTGTGTCCGCGCATCTCTTGCCCTGGCGCGGCTTTCAGCCTGGGTTGCACCTCTCATCACCTCTCACAACTCTGCACCTGACATTCCGAACCTGATCGGGCATAGACGTGCGCTCATTCTGCACGCGCGCTTTGCGCACCCTGCTTTCTATGGGTCAAGATGGTCCCCAGCGTTTGTTCTGCCAGCTTTTTCTTGAGCCGACTATGCGAGTGCCGCCCCGAGGCCTGGAGTCCACTTCCTTGAGTCCTCTCTCTACCCCTCTGTAGCCAAGCTCTCCGGATGCAGCTTTGTGCCATGTTGGATTACTGCCCCCCGAACTCGAAACTAAAGTTGAAACAGAGCCACAAATCGTGTCTGCTATGCTCGGGTCTGGAGGAAAGGGCCATCCAAAAGCATCCAATCTCTGTACAGGCGCAGAACAAACACCTGGGCGACCCCGGTGGTGACGAGGGCAAGGGCGCCGGTTCTCAGCTGCTTTGGGCATTGGGCTCTAAGGGCTCGCTTAGTTGAAGCCTTACGATGGGAACCCCCAAGCCTTTCAGCGCTCCCCAGGCCAAGCAGTCGCACAAAGGCGGCCGTGACACCGCAGAGGAGCAGACTTCGGGATTGTAACCTTTTCCAGCAGTTCAGGGAGACAGTTGAAACCACCCAATTTACAGGCTTTGTTCGGAGAATCTTAAGCTAATCTTTCCAGAGATGTCTGCTGGCGACCCAAGCCATTGCAGCCATTGCAGACTGTTTTGACGACGACGAGAGCCATGTGCGGTTTGAATTGAATTTGCTCTATTGACATAGCGGCTAGCTCGCGAGGATGGCACCTCCTGGCGAAGCCAAATCGGCTTGCGGCCAAGGTTTTTGCCGGCAAACACGCCTCGCAAAATACTTGCCGAAGCTTGCAACTCGATCTGGGCGGGATCATATCTACTGCATGCGGAAGATCTGTAGGTTTTAGGGCGCTCACATCAAACGATCACAGAGTCCTTCCGTACAAAGTTGCGAGGCCATGTAACCCGCATCGGGCCAGAAGGACGCAGCAGGCAAGGACAGGGTGGAGATCAATTTCTCACCAGCCGTATGATATTCTGATGCCAGCGAGCTGCAGGCTGCATCCTGGGGCAAAGCACCCAAGCCCGATGGCGTCCGCCGGTAAAGTGGGCTTGCCCTCGGCACCCTCTGCTCACAGGGATGGCTATGCCGATCCAAAGGACCGCCCCTTCGATAGCAAAGTTGTTTTCGCACGCTGATGCATCTGCCTAGTTTGATTGACCTTCGAAGCTGCGACTCGAATGCCGCCTGGAGGGATGCCACCCTCTGAATCAGTAAGCTTAGTAGTAGTGCATAAGTCGTGCCGTGCTCGATGTGGCTTGCGATGCTGGAGCCCAGAATGCCCCGTGGCAGGATCGAGGTCCAAGGTTTAGCACCTTGCCGCCACCTCCAGACAAGTCTCAGCCTCATCGTCTTAGCGATGTTAGCAGCCGAAGCCATAGATGGTTATAAGTTATAAGCTTGAGTTGGAAAGTTTCAATCACGAGGCATCTGCTGAGTTACACCAGAAGGAATGCAGAGCTTCATCAACTCGACAACGGCTGGTCATGCGAAAGAAGGACCTGTCACAGGAACATACTGGAACCCTTCGGCAGCCTTGGCTCTCTTTCTTGTCCTGAACCTGAGGCCATATACGCCACATTATGGGGCCTTGCAGCCTGCCTTGAGGAGCGAGTAAGCATGCATCGAGATGGGTGCGAAAGATCGACCCGCTTCCCAGCACTGGTT